GACGGCCCGCCCCGGCCCAAGCCCTGGTCCGAGCCGCCATGGAGGGGGACGTCCCCGACGCTGCAGCCGCGCAGTACCAGCCCGCCAGCCCCCCGCGGGACGCCTGTGTCTACAACAGCTGCTACTGGTGAGGGCGCGCGGGCGCAGCCCCGGCGTCGCAGGGGCCCCGCCCCTTCCGGTCCCTTCCGGGCGCTCGGGGACGGGGCTGGCGGCCCCTCTAGGTTGGCTGGAGGAGGTCGCGGGACGGGCAGCCCCGGTCTCCGGAGTGGACGCGGTCATGGGTGGGGGTGGGGCAGGCGCGTTTCTCGTGGAATGGTCGGGTCGGCGGCGCATTACTTCTGCTGGGACATTTCTCAGCAGATTTCGGTGCTTGAGGGCCAGGCCGGGGGGCTGGAGGCGGAGGGTGGACCGGACAGAGCCTTTTGGAGGTTGCCGAAACCTGCGTGGTTTCACACTGATGGGAAGGTCGTTTTAATTTTGGAAGATAAGGCAGGCACAGAGGTTTCGCAGTGACTTACGCAGGTCACCCAGTTGGTAGCAGCCCGGCATCCAGTCCAGACCCTCGTGTACCCACAACCGTGGTCTTCCCACCGCCGTGTCCTGTGAGAAGGGTTATACTTACGGGGCACTTGCTCTCTGCCGAGCTCTGTGCTGGATGGTCTGCGTGAACGAATTCATTGAGGTCCCACAATTACCCTAGGAGGCGGGTACCATTGTTATCCCCACTTTAAAAATGAGAGCACTGAAGTAACGTTTAGGGCCGCGTGGCTTGTGAGTGAAGGAATGGGGGTTTGCAGGTAGAGCCTGGCGCTGGACTCCGGCGGTCGTGCCGGTCCTAGGCCCCCTCTGGCTGAGTCACCGCTCCTGCCACACGCCTGCTCTTCCCTTGCCCCCCTTGCCCGTGTAAGGACTTCTTCCGCGCTCCAGTCCCTGCACAGTTGTGAAACCTCAGGGCCATCTAAAACTGCCTTTCCCTCCAGCTGGTCACCAATCTAGTGCCATCAAGAGCTCTGTTCAGCTCTGACTCTAGGTCAGGCCCAGTGCCAGGTTTTTCCATCCGTGCCTAGGACACAGGTTCTCTTATCATTTCCTTAATTTTTTAAATGAAAACGATGAGTCACAGAGAAGCGTGTTGTTTGCCCAGCATGACACATCTAGCAAGTGGTAGTCCTGAAACTGGCACCTCTGTAATGCTGGAGTCCATGCTTAACTATTGCACTTAGTCTCCTCCCAGCCTCTCACCAAAATCCTATTAGTTCCTGTCCCTAATGTCCATTCATTGTTTCATTCATTCATTCATTCATTCACTCACTAAATGTTTATTAAGCACTTGGAGTGTGTAATGCACAATTCTAGGCACTAGGAATACAGCAGTGAACAAAACAGACAATGCCCCTGATCAGATCTCCTGGTTTTTGTGTTTCGGTTGGGATATTTAAGGAAGACATTGTTGGTAAAGTGATATTTGAACAGAAATCTGAAGAAGAGGGCAGTGCTTTGTGGATATTGATGGGACAGTCCAGTAAGGGGGAACAGCAGGGGCAAAGGCTCTGAGAAGGACGTACCCCTTTGAATATTCTAGGAATAACAGGGAGGCTGGCACAGTTGGAGTGGAGCGATTTGGTGGAAGAATGGTAGGAGATGAATGTTTTTTCAGCAGTTCATCTTTTAGTTCCTTCAGCCATAGGCCAGACTCTCCTTGGCTAGCTGTTGGGGGCCTGTTTCAATTTTTTCTTACAGGCCTCTTTGCCCAGCTGTTCTTGGTCTTTAATTTTAGCTGGCCATTCTGCTCAAGGCCATTCTGAATTTGAATGTGCTGGAGAGTCACCTGGGAGCTTGTAAAACATGCAGCTCTTAGGGTCCCACCCCAGAGTCTGGATGTATGAGCAGCATAGTGGAGGAATCTGAGTCCATCGATCACATTTTGAGGAATAGAGGCATAGACAATAAAGTCTATATCCTGAGTATAGCAAGCCCTCTAAGATCTGCTCACCGTTCTGTTCCTCCAACCTCATTTTGAACCTGCCTTCTCTGATCAACTGTAGGGTTTCTCAGCCTTGGCTCTGTTGATACCTTGAGACTGTTAATTCTTTGCTGTGGCGGCTGTCCTGCGGATTGTAGGATAGGTAGCACATCCCTGACCTACACTCACTAGAGTCCTGTAGCATCCTCTCCCAATTTGTGATCACCAAAAATGTCTTCAGATATTGCCGGATTTCCCTTGGGGGCCAGATCGCCTTTGATTGAGAACCAGTGCTTTGCCTTGTCTGAACATACCTGGTTGGTACACCTTACTGCCTTTGCCCCGTGAGTTCTAACTTGAAATAAATGCCACCTCTCCTTCTGTAAGCTTCTGTCAGATGTTTCTTATGTTTGAAGACCCAGTTTAATGATGATAGTAGTGGTCAGTATTTGTGTGGCACTGTGTGGTTTGTGGAACGTTTTTCCTGTCTGTATGCTTCTCTGACAAAACCCATCACCAGTAACCCTTGCAGAATCTTGGCCCTAATGCTGCTTTGTTAGCTTTTCTGCTGCCAAAATAATCAACTGACAGGTTGAGAAGTTATTATCATCATTCCCCACTTTTTCTAAACCAGTTAAATGGGGGCCAGGACTTACATTACATCTGGGGCTCTTCCTATTCCAGTGTTTCCAAGTATATGAGACGCTTTGTTTTAGTAACATCAAAAGTTTCATGAGATCTTCCGACATGATATTAATTGCACTCTTGAAAGAAAAAGGACAATAGAAGGGACTATAAATTCAGTATCTCATGTTTAAATTGTTATTTCCTGTGTAACATTTACACATATTTGAAAAAATAGGCTAAATGTGTCCAAACCACATATGTGTTCAGCCTACCAGTAGTGCTTATGGTACATACGGCTTAATGAACTTTTTGCATTAACCCTGTGTGTGTCCTTGGGATGAGGTGAGGGGGAACAAACAAGAAAAAACAACTGACCTGTCCCGCCTTCATCTTCCCCCGTGCCTTAAAATTAGTGATTCCCTCTTCTGTGCTTTCTCTATGCGTCTTTTATGGCCTTGGATGCTTGCTTATTTATGGATCTGTGTGTCTCCTCTCACTGTCTGTAAGCTCTAATTTATCATATCTTCCAAGCACTTAGCATAGTGTTTTGTACATCACAGGCTCTTGAAGGTGTTTGTAGTCCACTCTCCAGAATGTCTATAGGCAAGACAGACAAATGTCTTCTCAAAACTTGGTCTTAGAATGTCCAGATTTAAAAAATGTTAGATACTACATGTTATATGCCCCATTGAAACAGTACATTTTTGTTGCTCCATACTACGCGTCCTGTTGAAGTAGTTAGTAGCAATCTGTTGTTACTTCTATTGCCACTTTTTCCATAAGGTTTCTTAGGTATTTTAGATAAAAACAAAGTCGTAGGAGAAAAATACAGAAGCTCAACTTTGTTGCTTTAAGCCTGGTTGTATGGAACATTGAGACAAGGGCAAGACTTGTAAATTGAAAGTGTTTATTTCCCTCAGTGCCGTGTGTGCCTTGCTTCATTTGTGGGTAGCATGGTGTAGGTGGCTGGAAATCAGGTTTTGACAGATTGAGTAACGTGTGTGAGCAGAGTGTTGGTTGGTGTAGCTCATTTTGAGCAAAGGTACTGTGTGGCTCACTAGAAAAAGGAACCCAGAGGCTGAGCTGTGAGTACTGCCAGCAGTGACTGCTTGCCTGTGCAAGAGTGTGACTGTGGCTGCTAGTGTACCTTGGTTTGACACTGGGCATTGCTTTACTTAGGCAGTTTTGACCACTGCTTCAAATAACTAAAGGCCTCTCATATAGAAGGGAGTTTTGTCTGGGGCAGAGATGTAGGAAGATGGATTTCAATTCAGCATGAGAAAGAACTTTCTGAAAGTCAGGACTTCTTCCCTACCAGAGAGACTTGAGGAATCACGCTCACAGAGGTTTCCTCCAAAAGAACTAGACATATCACACAACTGCCCTGATCCTTTCCACTCAGGAGCCCTACTACCCCGCACACCCATCCTGTCCCATTCTTTAGGGAGCAGGAAACTGATGTTACTAAGATGTATTGAATATTTTTATAATATAATGTGATTATACCCATTTTACAGATGAGAAAAGCAGACACTCAGGTCAGGATGTTCAAAGCTTCTTACCTTTTACATAGCTGATTTGCAATTCCAGCTGTATCTCAAGTTCCTGGATCCAGTGCTTATAGAGTATTAAACATTCTTTTTTTTTTTGTAATTGATTTTTAGAGAGAAAAAGAGGAAGGGAAGGAGAGAGAGAGACATTGATTTGTTGTTCCGCTTATTTACGTATTCACTGGTTGCCTCTTGTATGTGCCCTGACCAGAGATCGAACCTATAACCTTGGCTTATCGGGACAACACTCTAACCAACTGAGCTACCAGCCAGGGCTTATAGAATATTGACATAGCATCTCATCAGTTATAAAATGCCTCTTTACACAAGCACTGCTGGGGGAGGTAATGAACTGTATGTCTGCAGAGGGGTCCACACAGTGTAGGTTGGATAACAGCTTGTTGGGGATGTTTTAGAGGAGGTTCAGATGTTAGTGACTTGTTTGATGAGATGGTGTTTAAGGTCTCTTCCAACTGTTTTATGTCATCATCAGTCTTTTGTTCAGATCTGAAAGACACAGTGTTCTTGCTTAATTAGTAAACAATCACTAATTTAACAATTATTTTATTTCAGTGAAGAAAATATTTGGAAGCTCTGTGAATACATCAAGAACCATAACCAGTACCCTTTAGAAGAATGTTACGCTGTCTTCATATCTAATGAGAGGAAGATGGTAAGTTGGTGAGTGACTGCAGAAAGAAAACAAGAAATTTAGAAGCTAAATATAGAGCATGCTTAATACTATTTTTAAATATGCTTTATAAAATATATCAACATTTTAAAGTTTGTGGATGAGATTATTTTTCCTTCCAGGGTACAGTTCAGTTAGTAGAGTTTAGTCCCTCACTTGTAGGTAGGGAAATGTATGATGGTATGTTCACACAGATTAAATCCCCTTTCTTTAGAAGTTTAAATGGAACTATAGTGAACATGTATGAAGTATTTAAAAAAGTAAGTCCATGCGCAGCCAGTGTGGTTCAGTGGTTGAGCATCAACCCATGAACCAAGAGGTCACCAGTTCAGTTCCTGGTCAGGGCACATGCCCAGGTTCTGGGCTCGATCCCCAGTAGGGGGCATGCAGGAGGCAGCTGATCGACGTTTCTCTCTTATTGATGTATTTATCAGTCCCTCTTCCTTTCTCTTTCTAAAATCAATAAAAACATATCTGTCTCTCTATATATATAGATATAGATATCTGTCTATATCTACCTATATCTATATATATATATATATAGTAAGCCTTTCATATTTTATAAAGCACGTTCGCAAGGTTAACCTCATTTGATCATAATGGGAACCCTGTTCCCTAGGCAAGTTTCAGACAGCTGTCTCCATTTTATAAATGAGGAAATAGAAACTCAGGGAGGTTTCATGAATAATTAAGTGGTAAAGCAAGACTTGAATCTGCTAGGCCTCTCATTTCTCATTCAGGTCTCTTTCTATGCTCCAAAGACCATCATATAATTAATTTTTGCTTTTTCATTTTTAAGGACACTTAGAAATATTTGGATTTTTTACCCATTCATTCTTTCACTTCGATTGTTGGTTCCTTCAAAATATTTTATTTTTCATGTATACTTTGCTTTAAGGAATTTAGTAGTGGTTTAATTAAAATCGTGGCTTATGAAATTTATTGTTTTTGTAGATACCTATCTGGAAGCAGCAGGCAAGACCTGGAGATGGACCTGTGATCTGGGTAAGATGGTCAACACAGAGAGCGTCTGATGCCTTATTAGGACTGTAATCCCTGAGTGGTCTCTATATTTTGGTAGAGCAGAAGTGATAGGGCAGTAGAGAAAGGCTATGATAATTATAAATTCACTTGAGAATAGATGTTATTTGGCCTAAGGTAGAAGCACTTATAGGCATGTTTATTTTAATTTTGAAATTATTACAGGAATGGTTTTAAATGATCTGTGTGGCAGATATATTTGTGATTTCCCAGATTCTTATTTTAGCACTGGAAAGAACTTTAGCAACATCTAGTCCAGCTGCACATGAGAATTATCTGGAAACTGTTAAAAATGCTGTACAGGGCCCTGGCCAGTGTGGCTCATTTGGTTGGGCACCATCCAATGCACTGAAAGGTTGCCAGTTTGGTTCCCCATCAGGGCACGCCCAGGTTGCAGGCTCGATCCCCAGTAGGGGGTGTGCAGGAGACATCCAATCGATGTTTCACTTTCACATCGATGTTTCTGTCTCTGTCTCCCTCTCACTTCCTTTCTTTCTCAAAATCAATTAAAAAAAAAAAATAGTGTTCAGGTTTCTGATTTAGTTGATCTAGAGAAGGATTCAGGAATTAGCGTTTTTGGCAAACTCCTGAGTGAACATGACTGGCATTGGAAAAACATAGATCTGCTCCAACCCCTTCATTCTTCAGGTGGAGAAGCAAGGCCAGAAAGGCAAAGCGAGCAGCTCGAGGTCATCTAGCTGATCAGAACTGGGTCTCAGGCCCAGGTCCTTTCCAGTACGCATCTGTGTGTCACCTTAATCTGGCCCCCTGAAGAGCAGAATTGTTTATACTAGTAAACATGAAGATACAGTAAAAGAAAAACTCCATTCATGATAATGTAACAGACATCTAGTTTCTGATACTTAAAATAAGATATCATTTAAATTGGCTTCATTGATTTATTTAACATGGTTATTGGGTATGTATTATACACCAGGCACAAAATAGGCTAAAATCCTTGGCTTCACGGAGCTCACATTCTTGCCTCTTTCATGAGTAGATGATGTGTTGCTCTGACACTAAAGCCCAAATCCAGCAGAGTTGAATTCGGAGCGCGAGTTTAGAGTCAGGCACAGTGGCGTTAAGCCCCAGTCTCCCATTGATGGGCTGTGTGAACTGGATGTGTTATTTACCCTCTTTTTTCAGTGTCCTTTCTGATCAGTGGAGTTGTGAGGCTTAAATGAAATAATGCATGAAGCATTATCCAGGTGTCTGGTACTGGTGTTGGTGAAGAGTTAGCTTTTATTGTTAGCAACAGTGCATAACCGCTGTTGCAAACTGTCATCTGCCCTAGAAGTCATCCTCATTGCTGACCCATCCAGCTGATTTTGAGTCATGGTCTTGCTTTTTTAGGGAAACTCGCAGGGCAAGGACTCATGGCCATGTCCCCCTTTTCTTTCATTCATTCATTCATTATTTTCAATATGTTTTTATTGATTTCAGAGAAGGGGAGAAGGAGAGAGAGAGAAACATCAATGATGAGAGAGAATCACTAATCAGCTGCCTCCTGCACGCCCTCCACTGGGATTGAGCCTGCAACCCAAGCATGTGCCCTGACCAGGAATCAAACTGCGATCTCCTGGATCATGCGTCAGTGCTCAACCACTGAGCCACGCCAGCTGGGCTCATGTCTCCCTTTTTAAAAAGCACTTACCAAAAGTAAAAAGACATTTACATACACAATCTAGTTAATTCTCCTGGTATACTCTGAGGTAAATGTTACAGTTGCCTCCGTTTTATAGAAGAGGAGACAGTCTGGAAAGTGGAAGGGCTGAGGTTTAAATCGGCAGCCCAACCTGTGTGCTCTCCCACCTCCTCCGCTCTATGCCATCCTCACTCCTGCAACAGCTGACTTGTGTTTCCTGCTCACTTCTTTGGGAACTCCTTGAAGGCGAGGAGCTGTCTTTCTCACCTTTGTGTCTATATTTCAATAGCACGGTTTCCACAAATAATAGGGAGTGTGCACTGCTAAACAACTGTAACGTGAGTTAGGAGATGTCAAGAGAGAAACAGATTTTGGATAAGGCAGAGACTGCTGCTGGCAGGGGATGGGCGAAGATAAAATACAACAGACTTACGGGGAAGAAAGCCTTTGAGGAGGAGCTTGAGCAATGGGTATGGAGAGCGGTGGGGAAGGTTGCTGCAGGTGGAGGGGAACAGGATGAACAAACCCAGGGGAAGGAAACTGGACTGTTACGGGGGGAGCTGCTGCTCATCTATATCTGGAGGCTCCGATCCATTAGGGGGAGGACAGGGAATAAACATCCATTTCTGATGCTATTTCTGCCTTACGAGGATAGAATTGGAGCCAGAGGAAGCACTTTAGGCTCTGATGGTTCAGCATCTCTAGTCTCAGTGAATTAATTATCTTTCCCACCTCACAGAGTCAAATGAAATAACATTTGAGAAAGTGCTTTGTAAGCTCTAAAGTACTAGAAATGTAAGACGATACTATGAAGTTATACTGCATAATGTGACTGAACTTTTTATCTCGCAGTGCTGTTCTCTGTGACAGCATCTTTGTGCTGAGGAGCTCAGAGCAGTAGACTGCCCTCCCATCCCATGATAACCTCCCTGACATCCCTTCCAGCGGTGCCTGGTGTCTGGGAGTGAGAGAGAATTCGCATACACGCTGTGACTGAGCTGTGTGCATGAAGCTCTCTTTACTCCTTAATGGTTACACATGAGGTTTTAGGTGACTAAAAAAACTCCTGAAAAACTAAAACCCAACATTTTTCTTTCTTTTAACTACAAATATAGTATAGAACAAGAAATTAAAGTCCCCTTCCCCTCTACAGGCTATTCTCAGTCCCCTTTGTTAAGAGTTGGAAGATAGTCTTGCAGACTTTCTCTGGCCTTCTGACTGTGCATGTGTGTCTTTATATACATGTAGTTTTAAAAATAATACACATATTCTGCAATTTTTCTTCTTTCATCCAGCTATATAGCATCGACATTTTTCTACTTTCCACGTAAATTTGCAAAAATCTTCTTAATAGCTGCATAGTATTCCATCCTGTGGCTACATCATGGTTTATTAACCATATTCCTCTTGGTGGACTTTTGGTTGTTTTTGAATTTCCATTGTTATACACAGTGCTGCAGAGATTTTCTTAATATAAATATAAATGTAAGTGTAAATATAAATGTAAATATAAATATTAATATATATAAATATATACCTTTCCATGTGTATGGCCTTTTTTCTGTAGGGTTGATTCCTTGAGGTAAAATGTATATGAACATTTCTGCTGTTTACTTAACTGTTTCCTGTCACTGGACATCTGGTCTGTTTTTAGTGTTTTGTGTTTGCTTTATTTTATTTTGCTATTATAAAGGGCTGCATTCGTCTTGTATCTGTTTTTGGTGCTATATATGCATTACATGTAACGTATATGGCCTTGTTCACCATCACAAAGTAACTTGGTTAACTTCAGCAACTCTTACTTCTAGGATTACCATGTTGTCTTGCTGCATGTTTCAAGCAGAGGACAGAGCTTCATTTATGATCTTGACACTGTCCTGCCATTTCCCTGTCCCTTTGATGCTTATGTGGAAGATGCCTTTAAGTCTGATGAGGATATCCATCCACAGTTTAGAAGGTGAGGAAATTCATGGTGAGTTTTCTTACTTTCTGAAGGAAGACCTTGACAATTATATATAGAGTTGTTTTGTTTGTTTTTGCATTTGTTTTATAAAGATGACTTGTCTTGGCATCACCATTGAGTTGATACTTGAGAATGATGTGCTACTCAGAAGATTAAAAATATTTTAACGTTTTAAAGGTTGTCCATCATATAAAAGGTTGGTGGTCTTTTAAAAACATGTGTGACAAGATCTCAGACATTTTCTTAGTCGTCTTGGGGATTTCTCTCATACTCTTGTTTTTGGGTGTGTGTGTAGGGGGTTGTGGTGTGGGAATGGGATGCCTTATGGTACCAAAATTGAGAAGGCTGTCATGGCAGCCCCTGAAAATAATGTGTTTTGTCCAATACACAATTGAGTAAATAATGGCAACCAGATGTATTTCATGCCTTTGTAGTTCTGGATTTCATCTGATCCTTTCTCATGGCTTCTTTAACAGGTAATGAGCCGCACATATATTTGCATATTACTAATAGTACAAAAATGCCTGCATAGTTTTGTGCATGTCAGCATGTCATAGAAAATGAGTCTATGTAAAAATTGAGTTCGAATTTCAACTGTGATACCTCCCTGAGATAAATGAATGCTGATTTATCTGCAGGAAATTTAGAGTTATCCGTGCAGATTCTTATTTGAAGAATTTTGCTTCTGACCGATCTCACATGAAAGATTCCAGTGGGAACTGGAGAGAGCCTCCTCCATCATATCCCTGCATTCAAACTGGAGGTGAGCCAAAGATGCTTCCTTAGAGGGGTTTCCAGTCCCTGTGCGGATCAGCATTTTCCCTTAACCAAGGACAAAAATCTCATTGTTCTTTGGGTAAACTCCCTGAATAGTAAGGAGGTAAGATGAATTATAGTTCTGTGTATTTATTAGATTCAGAAATTGAGGCACGGAGAGCAGGACTGGAAGGCATAAGAACTCATGGAAGAGGAAAGTTGTTAAGGAGTAGACTGTGACACTTGCTAGAGCATTGGATGTACATACTGCTGGGACACTGGCCTTCAGGAGATCTGCCTGTTTGTGTCATTTAACAGTGGGACTAGTAGCACCTTGCTGTGGTAGGGTTTCATGTTATGGTGAAAAAAAATCACCAGTGCATCCTTGTGACGTATGAAATGTCATTTCCCCGGCACTAGAATAAAATCTGCATTATGGAGGAGGTGCGAGCTAGCAGCTTTTATTGTACCACTCATTTCATTTATGGGCCTTTAGGCATCAGTCCAGTTAATAATTTCTTGAGATTTGAGTAGATGAAGGGTTCTTCACCCTATTACTATTGTTTGGCATTCACATGGGTTGAAACATTATTCATGGTTGAGAGTAATTCACAACATTGCCTTTTATTGATGAGGTCATCTCGTCACATGGCTGATGCTGTCCGTGTGAAAGTGCTCGATAAGCTGTGCAACAGCCGGAAAAATGGGACAGAAGTATTCAACGTTCAGCAAGGCAGAAAGTAACAATATATTTGGCATCTTTGAAGGGAGTGAACTAGGAGGATTCAAACCCTTGATTTTTGAGGTTCTCTGTGAAAGGCTCTTGTAATTTTTAAAATTTATATTGGAATTGCTTTTTGGTCCACCAGCCTGCTTCCAGCGCTCAGCATTAGAAGTGGGTCGCTCCTTGGTTAGGAGAGGGCTTCATAGGTCTACTTTTCAGTCTTGGACAGCCTGCTCTAGAGGGCGTGGTCTGGGACAATGTGCCTTGGCAGCTTCCCATCTCATAGACATGAGCACTAATTCAGAGCCTTGTGCGTAGTAGGCGTTCTGTAAATACCAGTCCATCAACCCTGGTCCTCTTCGAGTCATTCCTTTGGGCTTGATGACTATGACCCTGTAATAAGTGCTGTTATGTGTCAGGCTTTGTGCCACCCCTTTTACACATTAGTTTAATTTACTTTTCACCACAACTCACAAGTCAAGTTTATTTTCCACATTGCATAGATGAGTAAACTGAGGTGTAGGAAGGTTAAGCCCTTTGCCTAAGGTGCGTGGCTAGAAAGTAGCCGGGTCAGCACACTGTGCTTGAGGAGGTTTTTTTTAATCTGGAGGGGGTTCATCAGGGCCTCCTGAATTTGAAATTGAAACTAAAAGGAATTTGCTCTGCAGTGTGGGGTGAACATATTGGTTTCTCATGTAATAATTTAACCACATTGTAATGTTCTCTCTTGGTAAGTTCATGACTTCAAACCTTGTATTTATCACAGGAATACATCCAGTGGTAGGAAGTGGGAATCACTTCTAGCTAATTAATAGTGTTTTTTAAAAAGTTAAAAAAAGGTTCAAGAAAATATCAAACCTTAAATTAATGCATGTTTTAGATATTTTTTTAGCGACTTTACTTGGTCCCTTTCATTTATTGACTCCTATGACTTAAAATTTAGTACATTTAACATGTTGTGCATTGTGAAAGCCTGTATACTTAATAATTTTCATGGCCATGCATCTGCAGGACCACTGTTTTCCATTCAGCATTTAATGTATTTTAAAGACAGGAACTCTTTTCCTGATAAGAAGGAAGCTGAGATTTACAGTCTTATAGCCTTGCCCTAAAGACTCAGTTCCAGCACCAGCTGCTGATGACTCATTTTTAAGGACATTTCCCAAGTCTTGGTCTGAATATAGAGTGCACCAAATTTTGTCTTCTCTTCCTGAGCCCTTTGCTGCCTCTTGTCTGCATATTCCTCTCATCTTCTTGCTCTCAGGTATGTTACAGTAACACTGGCTATTTGGAGCTGAGCTTGAGGGCGAGTATTATGTAAACCAAAGCTACTGGGCCTCGTGGGGAGATTATGGGCAAAATCTTATTTGTTGCACATTGATCTTTTAACAATTTTGAAACTTTCATTTTTTTATACATTCCTATTTTAAGTAAGAATACTTGAAGATAGTAATCTTTTTTATTGAATTATAATGAAAAGTCCTAGAAAACAAATATATCGTATTTCAGAAGTTGAGGTTTCCATTAGCAATTTGTTAAAAATTTTAGCTGACCTACTTACCAACTTATGTGGAGTGTGGCATCTGTCCTAGGTAAGCAAGAGCTTCCGCCCCGACTCTCCTTGGAGGTTCTTGTCTTTCCTTTATCTCCGGTTCCTTGGCCTGCCTGCATCCCCAGCTCTCCTATGACTTCAGCAAAACTTCTGGTGTTGCTGATTATCTAGCTGTTTTTGTTGTAAGGATGGACTTTTATAATATATAGAGTCCTTTCCAACTCTTTTTTTTTTTAATCCTCACCTGAGGATACTATTTCCATTGCTTTTCAGGAGAAGGGGGGTGGGGGAGAAACATCAATGTAACAGAGAGACACCAATTAGTTGCCTCCTGCATGTGCCGGGACTGGGGCCAGGATCGAGCCTGCAACTGAGGCTCCCTTGGTTGGAATTGAACCTGAGACCCTTCAGTCCGCAGGCCGATGCTCTAACCACTGAGCTAAACCAGCAAGGGCTCCAACTCATTTTTGTTTCCTTGTAATTTATTTGTAATTGTATCTCTTTTGTATCCTCTGAATTTCCTGTAAATTGGCAGTTTGGTTATTCATGCATTTTTTTATTTAACTTTTTAGTTTGAAATAATTTTAGTCTTCTAGAGAATTTGCTAAAATAGGACAAAGTTCCTATATACACTTCACTCAGATTCTGAATATCTGAATAAACTGTATTGTAATTATTGAAACCAAGAAAATAATATAAATGATACAAAAATATTGACATAATAGTATTAACTGATGGACTTTATTTAAATTTTGCAAGTTTTCCCACTCTTTTTTTTTTCCCAGACTCAGGGTATTAGGTTTAGGAGTACTGGTCATTTATTTTGTAGAGCATCCCTCATTTTGGGTTTGTGTGACGTTTTGTCATGATTAGATTGAGATTACACATTTGCGACAAAAATACCACAGCAGTGATATTGAACCCTTACCCATTTGGCCTTCTGGGTTGTTTTATTGCTGTTAAACCAAAATTGTGCTTTCAGTGGATATTTCTTTCATGTGTTTTTTTAGATTCCAAAATGAACCTGAATGACTTTATCAGTATGGATCCTGAGGTAGGGTGGGGAGCCGTTTACTCCCTGTCTGAATTTGTGCATCGTTTTGGCAGTCAAAACTACTGAACTTGACATCTGGATCCAGAGCCGTGGCGCAGTGCTGGGACGTGAACAGTAAACTTCATGGTACATTTGGTTTGGAATTGTGTTTTCCTCTTTTAATTCAATTTATTTGAAACATGAATGAACAAAAAAATAAAAACATCTTTTTTATATGTCAGGTTGAAACTTGATATAGTGTATATTTGCCAAGATGGTCCTACAGCTCATTTGTTAAAATGTGATGAATTATGCCAGTAATTGCTTTTGTTGTGATTGATGTGTAGACTTTGTGTCTGTTCTGGGTGTTTCGTTTTTCTCTAGCTACACTGTAAGCTCCTGGAGGGCAGGGCTGTGGCTCATTGCACAGTGAATCTCTAATACCCATAAAAGGTGGCCATACGATGTTTGCTAGTGATTGTGTTGCTGCTTGAAGAGGGCTGATATTGTGAGCTGAATCAGCAGTAAGTATTAGTCTTTTTGGACTATTAAGTTCTTTAAAAGGATTGCAGCCCTCTCAGGCTTGAGTGTTGTTTGCCTATTTGTATGTTTTTTAAAAAAAATAAATAAAATGGATTTAAAATTAATTTTGTTTTTAAAGATTTTGTGTCACTTTTGATCATCTGAGAGATGCCCAAGAATATCTCAGTTATAGATGGGAACCATTGCTTTAAAATACATTTATCAACCTTCCTTCTTAAAGATGTGTCGGAAATTTGGCTTTAATCATATAATTCTAAATAAAATGTTTGGCGTTAAACCAGCATATAGCAGTAGCTCTCATTCATGTCTTCATTATTCTACTGTAAAAAATGAGCAGTTTCTGCCCTAGCCAGATTTGCTCAGTGGTTAGAGCATTGGCCCACATACTAAAGGCTCTTGGGTTCCATTCTGGAAGGTTAAGGGTATGTACTTCGGTTGCAGGCTCCATCCCTGCCCCCGGTTGGGGCACATGTGGGAGGCAACCAATTGATGTGACTCTTACATCGATATTTCTCTCTCTCATTGTCTCTCTCCTTTATATTCTTTCTGAAAAGCAATGGTAAAAATTTTCTTGGGTGAGGAATTTAAAAAAAGAAAAGCAATTTCTTACAGCAAGGGTTTCCAAGCTTTGGATCTTAGATGAGTTTTCTGCTTATTAAGAAACTTTAATTTAATATAAATTTCCTGCCTTGTTCTGTGGAGGGACAACTGAAATCATTTACTCAAGGATCAACCAGTGTAAGAAAAAATCATGTATCCATTTGGTTCAGCCGGCCAGGAAGATTCTGGGAGAAAGTGAATGAATGTTTGTAAGAGGAATACAAATAAGTTATTTTATAATTTAGAGCTAAGTATAGACCTCAAACTTGGATATCTTGTTGACCTTCAGATGTTGATTTTAAAAGTATGTGACTAAAATGAAGAAGGTAAATTTTGGCAGGCTGCACCATGGGAATACTTTGTCCTGAGCAAAATGTTTTAGGGGGACCAAAGGATGGTTATCTGATTTACAAATTGCATTTTTAGTTTTTTGTTTGTTTTTTGTTTTTTTTTGCTAATGTATAAGCAGGTTTTCTATCTGGTATTCAAAATTATGTCTAGTGCAGATAAATCAGACAGTGTGTGTCTGGCAGTTTGAACTTCTCAACCACCCTGCCTTGAAATTGAAAGTCCCCATCTTCTAACCAGGATAGGAGCAAGATTTATGTTTTAAGCCTGTTAAACTATCCAGGGGCCATAGTCTTGACTTGTTAGAAGCAATAGAGAACGTTTGTTGTTTTCTCTATCTAGCACTCCTATAGTGCCCTTTGGAGGAACCCCTCTTCGCACATTTCGTATAGTCCTGGTGGCCCACAGGTAAAGGCATATAACTTAAGCTGGGCCAGACTTGGACCCCAGCCTTGGACAAGTCTAAGAAGGACTGGTACAGTGTTCTCCAGATTTGCTGTGTTGAGTTCAGAGAGGGACAGTCTCTCTCCATCAGGATTGCTAAGCTAAGGGTCTGGGAGTTTGGGATTCTGTGGGCATCTTGCTGCCACAGGACAAGGGCCTGACTGCAGAGTGCAACCCAGCAGTGCTGAGAACAGAGCCACAGCTCCAAGGACATTTCTGAATTCCTGGATCTCTCTGTGTTTCAAGCCAGCTCCAACTTTTGAACTTTCCAGTTACATAAACCAGTGGATTCCTTTTTCTCTTCAGCATGTGTGAATTGGATCACTGTCAGTTTGAACTGAAAGGTGAGTTGGTTTTCTTACAAGATTTTTCTTCAAAGTTGTTTATTTTATCAGGCTTAAGAATTGTTACTTTTGTTTTTCTGTGCTTAATTTTTCTCTGAGGTTAGATTTGCTTCTCTTTGTGTGAGAGAACTGAATAAATACTGCCTGGAAAGAGGAACTTTCAAGAAAAGCAGGGGACTAAAATAGAATTTGTAAGTCGACTATGAAAATAAGAGAAATAAGCTAGGTATATCTCTGAGAATCTGACATACAGTGGAGCAGGGATGCAGATACAGTAATATAAAGTGGTTCCCGGGTCAGCACTGACTATTCCTGATCGAAGATATTGCTGTGGCTTTTAAGAAAGATTATGTCTCTCAGAACAGTGGAAATAATGACAAACTCTTTTGTGTATGTGGTTTTTCTCAGTTTAATTTTTAATTAAAATATAGATGGTACGTGCACACTGTACAAATTTAAGTCTATAAAAGGGTATATGGTGAAAAGTAAACGTCCCCTCACTCTGTCCTTCAGCTTTCTGACTTCCCTACCCAGGAACAACTTCTGTTTTCAGTTTCTTTCATATCCTTCCAGGAATTTTTTAATGCCCATGTAAGCATATTTGTATTATGTATTAAATTCTGTTTTATTTTCTCCTCACAAATGCTAACAGTCTAAATACACTGTCCTACATTTTACTTTTTGAAGTTAATATATTTGGGTATTTTTCTAATCAGTATATGTTGAAATTTGTCATACTTTTTAAAGGTTACATGTATTCTGTGGTATGCATGGTCCATCATTTAACAGTCCTTTGTAAGTTTTTAGTCTTTTGGTATGGCATGAAATGCTTCAGGGAATATTTTTGTCTTTGTGTCTTTTTTTTTTTTTATCCTCACCTGAGGATATTTTTTCCATTGCTTTTTAGATTGAGAGAGAGAGAGAGATCGATGTGAGAGAGACACATAGATTGGTTGCCTCCTGCACCTGCCCTGACCGGGGCTGGGATTGAGCTGCAAATGAGGTATGTGCCCTTGACTGGAATTGAACCCAAGACCCTTCAGTGGATGGGCTGACACTCTAACCACTGAGCCAAACCAGCTAGGGCTGTCCTTGTGTGTCTGTAACAATTTCTGAGAGACATTTTGAGAGTGTAGACTGCTAGTCGTCCCACCAAATCCATTCTTGTTTGTATTTTTTCCTAGAAAAGGGGATAGCAAATGTTTCTATAGAGGGCCAAATAGGAAATATTTTAGGCTTTGAAGGCCTTAAGGTCTCTGTCATGACTGTTCAGGTAAAGCCACCATAGACAGTATGAAAATGATGGGTGTGGCTGTGCTCCAGTAAACTTTGTTTACAAAACCCGGGGGCTTGAGGAGTTCACCTTTGGGCTGTAATTTGCTGTCCGTGTTCTAGAGTAAAGAGTTACACTGGTCTGCAGCTCCTGTGCCAGGTACCACATTTCCCAGTCTCCTTTGCAGCTAGGCCGGCATGTGGCCAGGCTCCCATCATTGTAAGGGGAAAGATGTGGCCACTTCCTGGGTTGACTTGTGGAACATTGCCTGCCTACTCCTTCGCACCTTCCCCTCTTTTCTAATGGGTGGAATAGTGATGACTAGAATGACCTAGGAAGTTATCCACTGAAGGTAGAGCCACCATCAGCCTGGATTCCTGAATGACCCTATGGAGCCGAGTTGCATACCTGCCTGAAAAGCAGAGTATGGAACTGTTCATTAAGATGCAAAAATGTATTTTTTTAAAGTTACAGAGTTATTGATGATTCTTGATTCAGCAGTTCAGCCCTCCCTCTCTAAATAATACAGTGCTCATTCAAATGCTTGTAACGGTATTTTGACTGGGTCGGAAATAAGGCTGTGATGTACCACGTAGAGTTAGGTTCTCTGTGTGCTCATGCAAGCTTCCCCGAGTCCCACAATGTTTGTTCTTCACAGAATGTTCAGGAAACCTGAAAACAGATGCCTGTCTGTATCTCTTGTTTTGCCTGAGGTTCAGGAATGCCTTGTGGGAAAGAAGCCAAATGAACCTTGTCCTCATTTAGGGTTCAGACACATCAAGTCCTGTCTGATGCACCAGGGTTCCTCGAAGCCTGCTTTGCTAGATGAGAGAAAAACAGGTTCCTCAGCAAAAATGATACCTGAGGATAGAAGACATCTGGCTGAGTGGGTCGGACTGGACGACGAGGCCTGGAGATTAGAGGGCTCACTGGTGGAGGTACAGTATGAGGCATGGCTCCTCATTGCTTCCCCTGCATGCAGTGCACACTTGACCTCACTCCCTCACCCTCTTGAAAGCCCTGTCTTCTAGGAATGAAAGGAAAGAACTGTGTCACAAGGGACCTGGCATGTCTCTGGGAACCTTGTCCTGGGGCTCTGGAGCAGTAGGAAGAGAGCAGTGGTCTGACAGAGGTTAGAATTCTGGTGGCTGAGTGGTTAGCTCAGAGCAGTGGAGCAGAAGCATGGGACTCTAGGCTGTGGCTCTGATTCTCCATTCTCAAAATCCCCATTTCATCAGGACTTTGAAATAGAAGATGACCTTGCATAGGATTCACATGCTCGTGCATGCTTGAGTATATTCAGCTTACAATAGTAAGCACCCGCTGGGGATTCGCAGAAATTCGTGGAGGATGTTTGTTTAAGAAGCTGGACTTTGTGTTGGTGAATGTGTGCTTAAATCATCAAGATTTGGGATGACTATAAACGTGACAGGCTTACACTCACTGGTGGCTGGAAGCCTGGGCCGTACCAGCTACATACAATTCAGGGGAGAGGAAGTCTCTCCTTTGCCTTGAATAAATTTTGGAGAACAGAGAAGTTGAAAGGAAGCTGGTTCCATCTTCCTTCATTTTCCCTCCCTCCTTCCCATCCATCCATCCATCCATCCATCATCCATCCATCCATCCATCCATCCATTTATCTACCCAGCATCTAGTACATGCCTACCATTTGTAAAGTTAGGTCCTGATGAGTAAGACAGAACTGTCCTAAAAGAAGACAGATGCAGAGTGCTCAGGTTGAGGGGACAGAGAGCTGCCACGTCACTCTCGTTAGCAAGTAAAGCGGAGAGCCAGGCACTCTTCCTGCTCCGGTGCCTCAGCCGTGAGGAAAACAAGCCCCTTGCACTCATGGAGCTCACATTTTGGTGGAGCAGACAGAAAATGGACTTAAACTCTGTGTGGAAGGATGGTTGTTGCCCTTTGAGTTGGGAAAGATTGTGGGTGGAACAGTATTGGAGAGGAAGATCAGGGGCTTTATTCTGGACATGTTAAATTTGAGAAGCCACCTAAATGTCTAAGGAGATGCCAAATAGTTGCATAAAAGAGATGGATTCGGGAGAGGTTCAGGCTGGGAATATAAAATTGTGAGACCTCG